GGCGTGGGGCTCACGCCATGTGTAATCCTGAGCACTGTGTTGGGAGGCTTGAGGCAGGTGATTCCACTTGAGGTCAGGAGCTCAAGACCAGCACTGGCCAACATGTTAGAACATACTGTCTCTACCAAAATACAAAAATTAGCTGGGCATGGTGGTATCGCCTGTAATCCCAGGTCTACTCGAGAGGCTGAGGCAGGAAGAATCTTGAACCTGGGAGGGGAGTTGCAGGGAGCTAAGGTCAACACCGCCGCCACTCCACGCCCTGGCCAACAGACTCTGATCCTCCATCTCCTAAAAAAAAAACAAAAAAAGAATCGTTTGTTGACATAAAGCTGTCCAAAAATCCCAGTGTTCTTTCCACTTATGCTATTAAAAGTTACACACTTATCATGTGGGTGCGGGTAAGACTCAAAGCCTTTAATCCCCTAGATACTTTGACACCCGGGCTCGAGTTGAGTCCCGTATCCTTTGTAGGTCAGAGTTTGAGGACAGCTTGCCCACACGGATGAGTGAAACCCCCCATCTCCACATAAAAAATAACAAAAAAATTAGCTGGACGTTGGGGCGCTGCATGCCTGTCGAACTCCCAGCCTATTTGGGGAGGCTGAGGCAGAGAGAACTGCTTGAAAGCCTAGGAGGCCAGAGGTTGCAGTTAGCAACCTATTTTGCCATTCTGCACTCTAGCTGAGGTGGACAGGGTGAGACATCATCTGCAAAAAAAACAAAACAAAACAACAAAAGCCGGGCGGCAGTGGCTCATGCCTATAATCAACACTGCGGAGTGGAGTCACTTAAGGTGTCAGGAGTTTGAGACCAGTCTGGCCACCTCTACGCTAAAAATACAAAGATTATGCCAGTGTGGTGGTGGCTATACCTGTAATCCCAGCACTTTGGTGAGGACCAAAGGCAGACAGATCTCAGAGGGCCAGGAGTTTGAGACCATCACTGGTCAACATGACAAAACCGCATGTCTCTACATTAAAACAACAATTACTGGGTCGTGGTGGACTCCGCCTTAATCCCAGCTACTCAGGGAGGCTGAGGCATAAGAATGCTGGAACCAGGGAGCGGGAAGTTTGCAGTGAGCCTGAGAGGGTTGCCGACTGCATTCCAGCCTGGGCACAGAATGAGGTCCATCCAAAAAATAATAAAATAAAAGAAGCCTCCGTACGTGGGCAGGAGAGAGGAAGGGTAAGCATAGAATTTATCTGAGAGTACCCCACCCAGTTGAGGACTGAATGTTATGCAGTTTCAGTGAATCGAAGCCAGGAGAGGGCCAGAAAACTTCCTACCTTGTTGTCATCTAACAAAGAAAAAAAAACGAGGAATTCAGGAAGAATGGGCAGGAGTTAGCCTGAATTAGATCAATCACGGAGTGACACAGTTATGTAACCTGCCTAGAATCACCTGGAAAAAAAATTTAGACACTTAATTATAATTCTATACCTGAAATACTCAACAGATTTTATTATGCCGGGCGCGGTGGGCTTCACGCTGTAATCCCACAAGCACTTGGGAGGCCGAGCCAGGTGGAGGTTAACCTGAAGTCAGGCAGTTGGAGACCAGTCACTGGCCAACATGGCAGAAACCCCGTCTCTACGTAAAATAGCAAAAATAGCCGGGTGGTGAGGTTGCAGCGCCTATATAATCCCAGTTAGTTGGGAGGCTGAGGCGAGGAAAAATCGCTCTCTCGAATCCTGGAAGTGTGTGTTGTTAGCCAGGATGGTCTCGATCTCCTGACCTCGTGATCCGCCCGTTTTGGCCTCCCAAAGTGCTGGGATTACAGGCTTGTGCCACCGCGCCCGGCCCAAGAGCTGATTATTAATTATGAACTATATGCTCTGGGTACATAGATCTGACTCAAGTTATTAGTAAGAATGAAAACTCGATAACTGATGATCAACAGGACTGTAGCTTAAAACCAAGGTTCTAAAGTGCACAAAGCTCAAGGACATTTGGAAAAATGCTGTTTAGACAAATCCAAAATAAGCCAACTTGTGCTAGGCAATTAAAACCAGAAAAACATTATTAAGCACTTTTGGAAGGTAAGAATTAATGCAGATATAGACATTTCATATAAATAAAGTATGTATGATACATTTCCTACAGTATAACATAAACGGTTTGATAAAGTATTTGTTCTCTTTTTTTTTTTTTTTTTTTTTTTTTGAGATGGAAGTCTAGCTCGTGTCGCCACAGCGGCCCTAGTACAAGTGGCACGATCGGTGCGTGCGTCACTGCAAGCTCTGCCTCCCAGGTTCACGCCTTCTCCTGCTTCAGCCTCCAAAGTAGCTGGGACTACAGGCGCCCGTCACCCGCCCGGCTAATTTTTCTTTTTGCATTTTTAGAGGGTCAGGGTTTCACCATGTTACCAGGATGGTCTGGATCTCCTGACCTCATGATCCCCCGTCTGGCTCCCAAAGTGCTGGGATTACATGCATGAGCCACTGCGCCTGCCCTCTTCTTTTTTTTTTTTTTTAAGAGACTGGATCTTTCTAGGTCACCCAGGCAGAGGCTAGAGTGCAGTGGCTCTTCCATAGGCACATCAATGGCACACTGCAATCTGGAAATTCCTGGACTCAAGCGAGCCTCCTGCCTCCAGCCTCCCGAATAACTGGGACTACAGGCACACGCCAACTTGTCCTTTTTTTTTTTTTTTTTTTTTGAGATGGAGTTTCCCTCTTGTTGCCCAGGCTGGAGTGCAATGGCGCAATCATGGCTCCTGGCAACCTCCGCCTCCCAGGTTCAACCGATTCTCCTGCCTCAGCCTCCTAGTAGCTGGATTACAGGCATGCGCCAACCACGCCCAGCTAATTTTGTATTTTTAATAGAGATGGGGTTTCCTCCATGTTGGTCAGCTGGGTCTCAACTCCCGACCTCCAGGTGATCCACCCCCATCTTGGCCTCTCATGTTGCTGTGATTACAGGCATGAGCCACCCGCCTGCCAACAACTGTTCTCTTTATTATGATTTCGTTTGCATCCCATTTCTTTATGAATTCAATACTTGACATGTTTTATCTCATTTGTCCTTCCAATTATCCTATAAAATATTTTTTTTAGATACAAAGTCTCATTCTGTCATCCATGATATGGGAAGTAC